CCCCCCCCCACACACACACAAAAGTGCTATATATTGTCTTGTTAAAGTGATATTTCACTTCTTAATGGAAATCTTAATGGTCAAAAACAGTTAAAAAAATATTGTGTTCTGCATAAGGAAGAAAGCGGTGAAGCACATTTATGCCACATAAGAAAAATGACATCAGTCGAAATAGCATTTCATAATTTCAACATTTGATGTCTAAGTCAAAACTGACATAAAAAGTTACAACTATGACATGGTGTCATTATGACATACTAAGTAATTACGTTATGTCAAAATGATGGCCTAAAAGTTACAATTATAATATAAACTATAATTGTGGCATAGAAATTCAAAAGTATGTTTGTCAAAACTGACACTGTCATGATTGACATACTAAGTCATTATAAGAAGTCGATTATAATAAAAAGGTATGATAAAACGTTATAAGTTCAAATTATAATAAAAATGAGTAAAACAAATCTATCATAAAACTATGATATACTATGATAATTATGAGGTAGTTGAAATTGAAAGTCATAATTGACAGACTCAATGTTTCATGTCATAATAATGACTTTATCTCATAATTATGACTTAGTGTGAGGGAAAAAAAGTCAAAATTTAAAGTCATAATTGACACATAGAAGTGTTTTATGTCATAATTTTGACTTTTTATCTCATAAATGTCATAATTTATGTCATTATGATTTACCAAAGCATGATTTTTTATTTATTATTATTATTTTGGCAGAAATGGGCTTCCATAAGAAAGTTATACAAGTTTGGAACAATATGAGAGTATCCCTTTAAAATGTTTACAAATGTAGATTCTTCAACCAAAAACAAAGTCTGAATTTTGAATGCTTCAAATTCTCCCAGCTATTCTCAACATTTTCTCACCATTCTTTATCTTTCAGGATTCCTACCCAACAATCTCCTTCCGGACTATGAGGAGGCAGTGCATCGGCCCGCTACGCCCCCTCCTCCATATAGTGCCTTAAACGCCGGCCCTCCGACCTACACCAGCCCTTTAACCACTGACCAGCAGGATGTGCAGTGTGCACCCAGACAGACCACTCCATTGCCCCCTGCATCTGACACACTCTGTTCCAGACCAAACATAGAGGACATCCATACCTCTAACGGGTACCACCAGAAAGAAGACAGCAAGGGCGAGATCGAGTTAGAGGGGGGCAGATCCGCACAGAGCACTGTGCCCTTAGAGCAGCCTCCCAGCATGGACAAACAGAACGAGTGCAGGAAGGAGCCGCTAAGGAATGTGGCAATGCCTAACGAGAAAGAGAGGATTCTGGGAAGGCGCCGCAGATTTACGGGGGACTCTGGGATTGAAGTGTGTGTTTGTGGGCAATGCTTAGAGAGCCATGAGCCCAAAGAATTCGAGGGACTTTTGAGCGAGGAGGACCAAGAGGACTCTTTCTGCGAGGAATGTGGCCTTCATTCCTATGGAGAGGAAAGTCAGGGACTTCTGTCCCCAGAAAACAGAGTGGAGCGTGGAGCATCGCCTGTGCCTCAATCTCAACCTCATCCTGTCTGCCTCTATTTGCATACTATTAATGAACAAGAGGGTCCACAACATAGTAACACAGAATCATAAAGCTAAATGCATGAAGGAAAAAAAAGAGTGAGATGGCGAAAGAAAAAGTGAGAGGAAACAATTGGATGCTCTCCGCATTGTTGTTTTATGTACAGAGCATGTTTTATGCAGTTAAAAAAGCCAAAAGTGCACAAGGATGAGCTCTACTTGCTCCACTAGACAATACATGTGGTGCTGTAATGGTGCGTTCGGGTACTCCTGGGAGATTCGTATTTACGAGTTGAGTCGTAATTATGACATCAGATGCGTTCAAATCACTGTGGTTGGAGAAAGATGGCGTTGTACTTTTTCTACTAAATAAATAAATAATCCACAAAATAATGAATAAGGAATGCACACAAGGTGTGTTTGTGCATTTTTTAATATTTTTATTTCAAGGTGCTGTAAATTGAATCATATACTATTGTAATTGTACAATACTTTTGTACATGCAACATAGCTAGTTTTATTGTAAATAAAAAAAAAAGGAAAACAAATTTCAGCTAATTTACTGTCAATATGTCTGTAACTCAGAAACTCCAATATCCATAGTTTGCTACTTTATAATTACAACTTTGTGGTGGCAATCATGTGCATTCAACTTGTAAATACGATCTTTCCGACATGACGCACCATAAGACATCCACCAGGTGCGGCCACATTTACTCTGCAAAATTTTGTGGGTGAAGTCATTTCAATTGCAATCCATGTGAACATGAGATTTCGCTCGTGTTCAAGTTGGTAACGTGAATGTGTTGCATTCACCAACAGAAAGCTGCTTGGTTTGAAATTGACCTCTGTGTGAGCAGTGCTTCATGCATCGCTACACTATTGAGAATGGACCTTTTTTACCTTTGAAATCTCGCTGAAATTTTATAATGTGACCAGACTTTAACTGTGCAGTCTTAGTACTGAGATTCTAAATATGTAAACACTGGTGTGCTTGAACTCTCAGTGTCTCAGGACAATCAGAGAGCAATCTAAAAAGTGACTGAACACCAAAAAAAAAAAAAGACAGTGTGCTTTTAATTTCCATGTCGACTTTCCCTAATGTAATGGGACAAATCTTACTGCTGTGTATAAGGTTTTTGTTTTGCACAATCACATTCTTCTGAATGAATCATAGTCATAATTCATTTCAAATACAAAGTATTTACATAGTTTTAATTAATATTTTGTCTGTTTATATTGTCTTCTCTCTTTTTGGCTGTTGTATGCTTTGATGAATTATTCATGTGTATTTGGTATTCAGAACGAGTTTGATTCATAAATCTGCGTTTTTATAGCCAAAGTAGGCTATACAGATTATGACATGGGCCAGATGTTGGAATTAGGCTTGGAGCTTATAAATGCTGCTTTATTAATACTAACCATCAGATTTGGTTGCATGCAAACACTACATAATGTATATTCCTTTGAACCTGTAGGGATAAAAGCCTTGCCAAAGGGAGGTGTCTTTAGTACACAAACATTTACTGCTTAAAGTCAGTTATTGTAGATGCTTAGCCATTGATATAGGCTGTCAAGTAAACAGAAACATTTTGATGTTTTTAAAATAATATACACATAATTGTTGAACTTGATGTTAGATGACACATATGGGTACAGATTTGATTAAGCTGTATGGTGGTAATGTGATTTTTCAAGTGCCTTTTATATCATTTTTGCACTGCTACAACCACTCTAAATACAGTTTCACATGCCAATTGTCCAGTATCATCTTGAACATTAGCCTCATAGAATATATAGTTCAATACAAAAGCTTTTCTTCATGAAAGCTCAAAAGCTGTGCGTTTGATTTTCAGGTCATATACTTTTCAAAGTGCCTTGATTTTCGTTTCACATGCAAACTAATGAGCCATACATATGTAATTAATAAAATGATTTATTTTTGTATTTCTGCACCAAAGTAGCTCCAGTTCCTCCATGACCACTGAAGCACTCTTTCAAAGCTCTCCATGTTAACAAATTAATTTATTTCACTGCCCTAACGAATGTTATTAGTAAAGAGATTGGCTGCTCTTACCGGTGTCTCTGTGATGACAATCTATTAATATTAGTGCTAGCTTGGAGACATATACCTATGAATCAATCTCTTTCTCTGATATATTACAAAACTGCTGATTTTCAAAGTCTTAACGCATCTCGCGTATCTCACGTAAGACTTAAAATACGATGTCATATTGTGCAGCCTGCAGCTGTTTTGTCTAACATTGCAATAATCTGTGTAATGATACGAGTTGTGGCGCAGCTCATGTTTTTATCTTTTTGTCTTGTGTTATGCAAAAAACCCTAATCGTGACACTTTCAATTAAACGCAAATCAAAATAACATGTATAAGTGTTTTCATTTGTTCCTTGTTTTTTTATATGACTATAGCGGCAGGGATTCTGATTCATTCCAGTGACTCGAATCTTTGAATCAGTTCACTAACTAGATCCATTCAGTGGCCATTTGAATAGTGCAGGAATATGGAGCTTATAATATGACAAAACTATTAATTGGCCAAAATGCTTCGTTTGACTTTTCGGAGATCATCTGCTCTTCCCTGTGGATTACCTCTGACCTACTTTCTGTACGATCTGAATTTCTGCATATTGAATTTTAGAATATTGCATTTGATGTTCTGAATTTCCTCTTCATCTAGAAAACTTGAAGCTGTATTTTTTAAAACTGGATATTTGCAGTCAAATAATTCAGAATAAAAAAATCACTGTTTGAAAATACATGTCTATAAAACTCTGCTATAAACTATGTATATAAACGTGCTATTTTACGAACGAGATGTCCTAGTTCAGTTTGTTCACAAACGAGATGTCTCGGTCAGTCAGAGTCGCGTCGACTCGGTCAGATTCGAAACACCGATTCGTTTAGTGAAGGGCGCATTTGTTCAGCAGGTACTAATGAAATGTTTCAAAACTCTCACTCGAATTCTGCTTGCTCGTGATATTTGAAATGAAACATGAACGAAACACAACTTATGCTTCGTGCCTTTATCTTGCCTTCGAACATTATAACAACTCAAAAGAAGAGGCTAAATGTGAAAATCTCAGTCACAGCTATATTAATCTGAAACTCTTATCTCGACTTCGTGTAAATAATCCCATAGTAATATGCTTTATTACATGTTATTTTATTATTCATTTACTGCAGTACTTTATGCATAATCATCATGACAGTTGTTCCTCCTGCGGCATTTATATACGAGTTCCGTGGGCTGCAGCATTTGCTCACTGATTGGCTGAATTTGTCAAGCTACGGAAGTCGAGAAAGGCTGAAACGCCTACTCGTTTAGCGTTTAATCATGGCAGACGCGCCTTCGGCAGCCAGGTAAAACTTATGTTGCTCATTTTTACGTTTGATCTGCAGTATGATTCAAGCTGGGAAAGTAACAGAGCTTTCATTTTGTAATAGCAAAATAGATTATTACGCTACGTAGCGACTGGAGCAGCCCAGCATATTCTGTACAAAACAAAGTCAAGTATTCTCAGTACAATTTCTTACTATTGTTCACAGTAACAAGGCTGTTACAAGTGTCTACAATGACGTGAAGGTATGTTTTTTCCCCCCCAAACTTACAAAATTATTGACTTTTAAGGGCTGTATAACTTAAAGTAATCTTGTATAACAAAATTAAAGTTACTAGATTTTATCATATTTATTTTCTACATCCCACATCGCAGCCAATACACCTAAACGTTAGTCACCCTAATAGTTTGCGGGGTTGTATTAGACACGTTTAATGCTCACAGTGGTTTAAAATAATGAATCTTTAATATAGGAATACTATGGAAAGACACTGAAGAAGACATCTGACCTGAAAAGCAATGCCTGTGTTCCGTCTGCCAAGCCTGTCCCTGCATACGTGAGAAAAGTGATAGCTGAGATCCATCCAGATGTCGTTGCAAAGTGAGGTTTGCTTCGATAAATGTTGTGATGATTTAGTTAAAACATACATATGCAAGATGTCTTTGAGGTAAAACAAAGTAACATGGAACGTAAGCTCACAAACCATACAAGCCCACTTGTAGTTTCAGTCTGAACTATTAAAAAAGAAAGACAAGAAAGAAAGACAAGCGATATATTGAAATTAGAATCAAATGCAGTTTGATTTAATTTATTTCCTTGGTATATTTATGTATTTTGAAAAATAAAATTGGGAACTGTAAGTTAGAGAAGGGTCTTATGCTCACCAAGGCTGATTACAACAAATGCAATAAAAACAGTAATATTGTGAAATATTATTAATAATATTAGCAATATATTGTAATTATATATTAGTAATATATTGTAAAATGTAATGTATTCCTTTGATGCAGCGCTGAATTTTCAGCAGCCATTACTCGTTTTCAGTGTCACATGATCCTTCAGAAATCATTCTAATAACCTGATTTTCTGCTCAAGAAACATTTCATATTATCATTATTACTGTTGAAAATTGCTGTTGTGCTGCTTAATGTTTTTGTGGATTCTTCGATGAATAGAAAGTTTTCAAAAGAACAGCGTTTATTTGAAATAGAAATCTTTTTGTAACATTGTCACTTACTGCCACTTTTTATCAATTGAATGCATCCTTTGTAAATAAAAAATATTTTCTTTAAAAAGGAAAAATCTTTCAATAAATCTATAAAATACATGCATCTATTGCTATAAAATAAAGCAGCACCTAAACACCTACTTTCTTAGAAAACTGTTCTCATATTAATAAATTAATAATCATAAATTAGCATATTGATTTGAGTGGCTTAATAGGGTCATTTCCTCTGATGATATATAATCATATCTAAAAATGTAGCCAGCCAGTGATATAATGAATAAGATTAACAGATTTTTAAAAATGTGACTGCTTAGACCTTGTCTATTTAAAGTTATAATGCTTTATTCTGATGATACTTCCTCTGACATTTAAAATTAATTGCAGTTTTACATATTACCTTTCACAATGTTTCAGCACTGACCCCTTGGTGGCAGAATAACTTGTGTCCCTCCTCTCAGGTACTATGGCTGTGGTCTGGTGGTCCCTGAGTGTCTGGAGGGCTGCAGAGTGCTTGATCTTGGATGTGGGAGCGGATGGGACTGCTACATGCTCAGCCAGCTTGTAGGAGAGAAGGGACATGTCACGGGTATCGACATGACTGAAGATCAGGTAAATTCCTTTAAGGTTTTGGATAGCAATGTAATGCTGTAATACGGGCTTGTGCTACAAGTTACTATATATGGCAGACTAGTACATAGTTAGTGAATGTGTAATTCTGTTTCGCTGATATTTCAGCATAGTTTTTAAAAAATTGCCAAAGCTAATAATTACAACAGTACTGTTGTTTTTTTCTCCAAACAAATAATGAGATTAATAGTGATTAAATATTTTAATTGATTGACAGCACTAATAAATATATGTTTTTCATTTACTATCCTAAATTCATTTGACAGTATATGTGAACTGCTCTTATGTGTCTTCTTTGTTTTACAGCTTGAGGTGGCTAGGAAATACATCGACTACCACGTGCAAAGATTTGGCTATAAAAAGCCAAATGTGAATTTTGTTCAAGGCTACATTGAGGCCCTGGCAGAAGCAGGTCTGGTGGAGAAATCATATGATATCATCATGTAAGCTTTCACAGTTTCAAAATGATAGCCTATTTGTGAAGAAAAATAACTTTGCAATTATTTGCTGACACGAAACTGTTAGTTGGAGTCTGTTCAGTTTCCACTGCTTGATAGCATTAACAAGCAATTAATTGGCAGTTTTTGTTCTTTTATTTCTAAAGATCAAACTGTGTGGTGAACCTGTCACCAGATAAAACCAGTGTCCTGAGAGAGGCTTACCGTGTACTGAAGGTACTTCGATTTCATACAGAATTTAGTTTAATTCTTTATTTTTTAGCTCTGATTTTTTTCCAACCCTGACACTCAGATGCTATATTAATAGCCTAGAACATGTTAACATGTTACTTTGAATATTTGAAACATGGATCTCTTTTGAATAATGGATATCTTTTGTGTCTTTAGCTCATTAACAAACAAAAAGGATTTTGATTCGGTTTGTGTTTAGGATGGAGGGGAATTGTACTTTAGTGATGTTTATAGTGATGCTAGAATCCCTGAAGACCTCAAGGCCAACAAAGTGTTATGGGGTAAGAAAGAACAGATATTTTATCT